AGATGAACCACAGGCCGGCATGCTACAGTTTCATTCACAGCCTCATTCAAGATGTTAGGAAGGAGTTCATTATCAAATAAATGCCCAGCTTTAGCAAGATGCTCATTAAATATGTCAAGCAGTTTATTCTTGTCAGTCACATCCATTGAATTTGAGGTCAATTTCAGCGGAAGACCAGAGGAGTTTGTGTTAGCATTCATGGATTTAATGGTTTTCCATAATTTCGTTGGGTTATTGAGGTTTGCCTTGCTAGATTCGTAATAGAATCTAGATTTACATTTCCGTATTAACAAGGTGCACTTATTTCTCAGTGCCCTGAATAACTGCCATTCAGCCTGGGAATTACCCTTTCTGCCTTTGGCCCATTGTGTGTTTCGTATATGGATCAAATCAGATAATTCCCCTGTAAACCAGGGATTGTCTCTACATCTTACTTGGTATTTTTTGAGAGGGGCGTGTTTATCACAGATAGTAGAAAACATGGAATGAAAATAGGAGAATGCCTCTTTGATGTCTGTAATAAGCACAATCCTAGCCCAGTTGCATGCATAAAGTTTGACTATGAACCGGGGGGCACTTTGGGGATTTTGGTGTCTCTAATGCAAGCAACTGCACAATGATCACTTTAATCATTAGGGAAAATACCAACAGACTAGTATTTATGCGGATTGTTAGTTAGAATACCATCAATAAATGTTGACTTAGAGATGTCTTTTGGATTGAGTCTTGTGACTGCATTTATAATTTGAGTAAAATTCAGTGTATTGCACAGTCCTCTTATGGCCTCGGAGTTTGGAGATAACCAGTCCCAGTTTAAATCGCCTATAAGGACCATTTCATTTTTTCCCCAACCACGCATCAGTTCAGCCAGAGAATCCAGGGATTCTACTTTTGCAGATGGAGGTCTATAACATCCTATTAAATCTAAGTTCACAGCTTTCGATAACTGCAGTTTCAATGCTAAAAACTCAAACTGTTTTGGTTTAGATAAAGACCTTAGTTCAGTAACTTACACATGTATATGTATGACCAGTGGGAAATGCTCTGACTGTCCATCTTAGGATATGTTTTGATTTGACAGCATTTTATTGTTTAACTGTTTTTTTTAAACATTATTTTATATTTGGTTGTTACCCATTTGACCGATAAACTTTCTGTTCAGAATATGTGATATAGTAGCCTATCAGTTAATTAATGACATCCTTGCATGACAATGGAAGACTTCATTCATGGCTTTTTGAACACCTTTTTGGCCTTTATCACTACACTCGACACACAGCCACACAGTGGTGACTTGCACCTTTAATATACACGAAAAAAAAGACGTGACAAGTTGTCAATATAAAAGAACGGTAGAGCATATGAACAGCGCCTAAGTCAGACCGAGCCTCGTGATCAAGGAAGATATTTAATATGGCTTTAATTACATTTAACTCATTACGAAGTTGCGCAGTTAATCACCCAACATCAGTGTTGAGTTAGTAGTGAACTACATGTAGTTTAACTAGAAATGTAACTACATTTTGCATTAGCTTGGTGGTAGTTGATCTAAATTCAAATCTTAGTAGGATTTTCAGTAGTTAATAACTTGTTTGCCATGTAGTGGTGTAGCTAACTACTAGAACTACACACTACTTTTATTGCAAAAATCTAATAAAATATGTGTGAAGTAGGCAAGAATCTCCTTTTTCGGCATCAGACCTGCCTAATTCTGGCTTGAAACATTGTTTCTAGCACTATAGGAGATTTTAAAAAATCAGTATGAACTCAAGTTTACTATTAATTATTTTATTGAACCTTTATTTTAGCAGGGGGTGAGCCCTGCATCAATTATTTTAGCAGGGGGGCGAGCCCTAGCCAATGTGTATTTTAGGTTGACTATCACATGCTGTGCCTGTGGTTTTCGAGTGCCCTATTTACTATTGGTAAACATATTTCATTCATGTGATTATGTATATATAGCAATCAAATAAAAATATCTCAAATGAATTATATGCAACCATTTAAACAACTGCATGAGAATAAAGTATTTTACTTACCAGTCTAAAGTTACGTCTTTCCCATCCAAAAGAAATCAGCGTGAGTCTACAGTATAATCACTGAGTCCTCATCAATTTCTATGTCACTTTCCCGATCGATTTCTCCAATAATCTCGTCCAAATCTGTATACTTCGATTGAGCTTTTTCTGTTTTATTAGCCATGTTGTACTTTCTAACATAGCAATAAACTTGGTAGAACTAATCAAGCGTGCGTGCGTAAATACGATTTTATCTGCCCAATGTATGTTGTTGTGCGCGAGCTCAGCACAATGGCTTTTACTCACACAAAGGACCATCACATACTCCTGTAAAGCCCAGCTCATTGGCTATCTAGCTAGCTATGTTTCAAACCGATAGGTGGTCATTGGACCAAGATACAGTCAATCAATTGAACAGCGCCCGTCTCATTGGTGTGTAATCATGTCAATTTTCTAAACAAATGCGTCATGCAGATGCGTCATGGAACATGTTCGGTCGCCTTCTAGAGTATTTGAGGATTGCAGAAAAACCGAACTTGACTGGGTGAAACAAGGTGTAGCGTTTATATTACGTTGAAATGTTTTGTTGCAAGTTCAGCTAATCGGAATTCAGGTGAAACGCTGTATACAATATGGACCGTGTTAGGATATAAAAATGGATTTTATCAAACAAAACAACGCTACGTTTTATCTCTGGGACCCTCAGGATGACAAATCAGAGCAAGATTACTGAATGTAAGTACATTATTTACCTTCAGAGATGAATGTATCAAACCAGTTGCCTTGATAAAAGTGTTTTGTTGTGCACTATCTTCAAACAATAGCATGGTATTTTTTTGCTGTAATAGCTACTGTAAATTGGACACTGCAGCTAGATTAACAATAATTTAAGCTTTCTGACCATATAAGACATGTATATGTCCGTGAAAATGTGCTTTTGTTTACAACGTCATTGAAGTCACATTATCCGTATTGAGCAACAACTGTTCCGATTTCGGGACATCCATCCAGTAGAGGTTAACATATGAGCCCAAAGTGATTTGTTCTTGCAACTGCAGACCATGTGTAACCACGCCAGCTTAGGACCTCCACATCTGGCTTCACCTGCGGGATCGTCTGAGAACAGCGACCTGGACAGCTGATGAAACTGTGGGTTTGCACAACTGAAGAATTTCTGCACAAACTGTCAGAAACTGGCTCAGGGAAGCTCATCTGTGTGCTCGTCCTCCTTACCAGGGTCTTGACCTGACTGCAGTTCGGCCTCTTAACCGACTTCAGTGGACAAATGCTCACCTTCGATGGCCACTGGCACGCTGGAGAAGTGTGCTCTTCACGGATGAATCCTGGTTTCAACTGTACCGGGCAGATGGCAGACAGCGTGTATGGCATCGCGAACGGTTTGCTGATGTCAACGTTGTGAACAGAGTGCCCCATGGTGGGGTTATGGTTTGGGCAGGCATAAGCTACGGACAACAAACACGATAGCATTTTATCGATGGCAATTTGAATGCACAGAGATACCATGACAAGATCCTGAGGCCCATTTGTCGTGCCATGTTTCAGCATGATAATGTACGGCCGCAAGGATCTGTACACAATTCCTGGAAACTGAAATTGTCCCAGTTCTTCCATGGCCTGCATACTCACCAGACATGTTACCCATTGAGCATATTTTGGACGCTCTGGATCGACGTTTACGACAGCGTGTTCCTGTTCCCGCCAATATCCAGCAACTTCGCACAGCCATTGAAGAGGAGTGGGACAAAATTCCACAGGCCACAATCAACAGCCTGATCAACTCTATGCGAAAGGAGATGTGTCCCGCTGCATGAGGCAAATGGTGGTCACTCCAGATACTGACTGATTTTCTGATCCACGCCCCTACCTTGTTTTAAGATATCTGTGACCAACAGATGCATACCTGTATTCCCAGGCATGTGAAATCCATAGATTAGGGCTTAATTAATGTATTTAAATTGACTGATTTTGTTATATGAACTGTAACTCAGTAAAATCTTTGAAATTGATACATGTTGCATTTATATTTTTGTTCATTGGTGGCACATTTGAAATGGCTACATACAGATAAGTCAATCTCCACACACTTATGATTATGGCGGGCGAGTGTGTGGTTTGCTCAGGTAGGCTACGTTTCTTGACAAATATTTTTGATCAATATCTATAGGCGATGATATGACAAAGAACATGTTGTTTCCAAGTTTTCTAGCAGTGGTAACGATGTCTATGCACGTATATAACGCGTGGAGCCTTTCCTCTCCTTATGTTGAAGTGGCCTATGGCCATTGCTCGCGTGTAGGAAAACATATTTGTGTCCTGCTTCTTCAGTTCTGCCAGAGTGATCACAGGCAACATGTAATCAAAGGTAGAAGTTTAAATAGGGCTTTATACTATTCCAATCAACATTGGAGAGGTTAGACATATTCATATTTTGTGCGAGTTGTCCAAGTTCATGGAATTTGGTCAAGGCGGGCACTCTTTACGCACGGGAATCATTTGGAAAATGTTTTGCTTTTCGGGAAATCGGGACAGCAGCAAGACGTTAAACCTGAACTCAACTTCCAACTTTTTACGTTTGTTCAGCCGCCATTCTTTCCCCAATCTTTCTTCGTCTTTCAGTCATTTTGCAGATATTTTTAAAGAGGTACCTCGATCCAAATTGACTTTTATTCAGTGTTTGTGTGATACTTCAGGGTGTAAACCCATACTAGAACATTTGCCAGTAAGCAGAGAGAGGTCAAATTGTTCATTTTTTGTCAAGTGTCAACTACCAAGACCTTTCTTCGTAGCTGTATTGCCATATTTTAGTTTTTCTAGGTGTTTTGTGTGCCAAATGAACACTTAAGGTGTTCATTTTCTATTCCACAATCAATCATATGAGTACACACGGCTCACTTAAAAAAAGTTGGGGGTGTTCAACGTTACACATAGCAACACTCATTTAGCCCCACTAATGAGTACCAGATGTGCAGGTTAGGGCAGCGGAAGGCCAACACGCCCTCTGTTGGTGAGATGCCACCAGAGGAAGTAGATGTGGACTGTACAGTCTCTAGTCACAGCTGTGTGTTTGGAATGTTTCCTAGAACCAAAGCTGTGTCGGTCACCTCTAATACTGCTGTGTTTTTCCTTTGTTTTTCTGTCTCAGACTGCGCCCACTCCTATCTTGATGTAACCCAATGTGGACTTGAGGCATTTGGGTTGTTTTTGTTTAGTTTTTTTATTCTCATAGCATTTTTGGGGTTTTTTTACGCTTCTGTGATCTTGCCTCAGCGTTGAGGTCACGGAGATCCCATGTCGCACTGACGAGATCCACACGGCCTTCCACTGCTCCCACAATCCCCCCCCCAGGCCCATAAAAAATGGAACACTGAGGCTCCTAAACATTTCCCTGCATCAGCATTCCAGAGCCCAGCCAACCCAGATCTCTCCTCAGTAGGGACCAGGGCCAGTTCATGTGCTTTCCTCTTACTTTTTGTTTTGTGACTCTATGGAGAGTTTCTGTTTGGTTTGTGTAATTGGAGCTTTGATGTGGTGTTAGGCCTATACAGTGCAGTATACAATAACGGACTGTTCTGTTTATTTGAATGATGGTTGCTGTAATAGCTTACATTTACTCTTCTGTTTAACAGGTTTTACCTGCATTTTCCTGCTCATTACCTCTAAAATCTCTAAACCCAACCAATGTCAATGGGTTCTATAAAGTGTCTGTAAGCAATCTCTGAATATAAATATTTTCTGCTGTAGGAGTATACAAAGTAAATCGGAGCTATTTGGGGTGAGTATGTGGGGAGGGGGGTTCCTGGAAGGCGCTTAACTGACTTCCTGCCCCTCCGTACAGTCAACAAAGGGGGGCTCCTAGGAGCTGGCTCGCTGCATGGCCAGATGGATTCTACAGTCATGAGCATTAGCAGCACTGTGTATTTATGCTGTGAATTTCTGTACAAGAGCTGAGAGGGTCTCTACAAGTGCAGTTTACTCAAATAATTGACGTATTTGCCCAGATAATGTATTATTATTTGCAGATATTTTATATTTTCTCTGCAGTTTTTGGACTGAACAGTTGTGATGTAGTAGACACGTGTGATGTAGTAGACACGTGTGATGTAGTAGACACGTGTGATGTAGTAGACACGTGTGATGTAGTAGACACGTGTGATGTAGTAGAAACGTGTGTGATGTAGTAGACACGTGTACAACCTTGGTATTTGACAACTGGAGGAGGATTTCATTTATTTAACCAGGCAAACAGTGTTACGCCTTTGGCACTGATTGACTGGATGAGGTTTGTAGGAATGAAGTGAAACACATGGGACTGTCTTTATCTCTGGGCTAATTTAAGGAGTAATTATTCTGTCTTTGTATCCAGTACTGTCTGGCTGACAGTGATCCAACATTGCTGTGTAAGAGCCTATAATGAGAGTCATCACATCTGAAAGGAGCATTTACCCCAACGGTGCTTTGTCTGATGTCATAACGGATGCCATCAACTCATTCACCTGCGATATAGGCTTGATCTCTCCACCATTTTCTCTTTCTCTTTTTTATTCTCTCACTCAACCTCTCCATCTCCTCTCTCTCTCCCTCCAGATCCGCACATTAAGGTTTGTGGAAAGAGAGACAACGTGAGGGAAGCCAAAGACCGAATCATGTCAGTCCTCGACACAAAGGTGCGTATGAATGAAGGAAGGTTTTTGTTTTGTTGTCATAGCAACACCAACACTGCCCTCCCTAAGTGATCAACTAGAGGATGGTAGACACAGATGGATCCAATGAGTGTCTGGCTGTTATTTCATGCTCTAGAAAGCATTGGTTTGCTTCCTAATTGGTTCCTCTTCAATTTGAGTAGCTTGATAATAACACTGAGAAATAGATAATAACACTCTGAGAAATAGAGTGATGGAGGTAAAGAGAGGTGGATGGAGAGAGAACAGGCCCCGGGGAGCTCACTGAGGTGGCAGTGGGGCACCTTTTCAGGGAATAACTCGCTCCCACATCTCTTTCTCAGTCCATTTTCCCTCTCTCTCACACCGTCTTTGGCACACTCACTCCATTGCCAACAGAGTTCAAATGACAGGCTACAGTCTCAGACTTGTAATATGACTTGCCACCAAGGTGGCCAGTGCTTCATTTCCTGAGTGTGTAATGGCTTGGCATGGTGCAAGTCTTGTCTCTATGGCAACAAACATCCTCATCCCAAAATGGGCACACCATAGCACCCCCTGTGGGCGTGTTTTATCATAACACTGAAGTATTTTCTCTGCACACGGTAGAGGTCTTCACGGATCCACCTGTACCCGAATACCCGAGACCCCATACCGGGACCCGAGCAGGTTCGGATTCAGAATTCTAAATAATGTCACGGGTCTGGGTCAGATCTGATATGATTGTCATGGGTCTCGGGTATGTGTAATTTTAACTGACTTGTCCGGAAGGGCCCGTACAGGTCCGAACGCAACTGCTGCAGTAGAGGGAGAGAGCGAGAGAGGGGAAGAGAGGGAGAGAGAGAAATTGTCTAATTTATGCTGTTTCTCTTGCTTTTCACGAGAGAGGAGTGTGACGCGTGTAGCTTGTTGTTGTTGTTTTTGTTTTTGTTGGCCAATCAAGTCATCAAAGCGGCAATAGGCTACAGTCATAGAGCCTCCTTGTGGCAAAAGTTAGGAGATATCTAATCAATGGAAGATGGAATTAAAGGTTAAAGGAGAAGGATAGCCTAAAACCACCACAAGCCAACAGGTAGGCTGCTATTTAGCTAATATTCTGAATGGAGTTGTAGTTATTTGTAACTATAGGATGAGAAAGCGCATGCACTGCAGCCTCAATTAGCCTACCTAGCTAACGTTAGCTAGCTTAACTAGCTTCTCCCAGTTTGATGCAGTCAAGACCGGTACTACGTAATCATATTTGATGATAAATAACCAAGTTATGGCAGCTATTAGTCTACTATAGCACGAGTCAGCTTGGTTGGTTGCTGTCTCTTGTCTCTCCCTCCCTCCTCCCTGCTCCGTGTCACTCGCTCACAGTATGGCCCCTCCCCGCCAGCTAGAGCAGCACCTCTCTCTCCCTCCTTTCACGCTGTATCAGCTCTGGTTAATAAAGTAGCTTAAAAAATGACTTTTCTGCTACTTCCTTCACTTGGATCGGACCGGGTCTGGATCCAACCAGGTCTATACGGAACAGGTCTAGTTGTCCTCGGGTCCGTTCGGAACTGGTCTCTATATTTTAAAAATGTATTTATGCATATAGGGTCCGGGTGAGAAAGCCCCAGGTCCGTTATGGAACAGGTCCAACTTCTTGGACCCGTGAAGACCTCTAGCACACGGTCAACACATGATTGGCTACATATTGCACCCCAATAAGTTCAATATGGAACAACTATGATTAGCTGGCATTAATATCAATGGATTTGTCAAATAAAACTTTTTGAAGCAACATTTGTAAACAACAACATACTTTTAGGCTCATCTGCTTTAGCTCTATGTAATTAGCCATCTGAAAGGGCTTAAGTTGGATGTGATTGGTTATGTTCCACATGCCTCTAAGTGGAGCATTGGGGACTGGTATTAGCTTCTAGCTTCTAGCTTCTCATGCTGGACCCATCTGCCTGGCAGTGGTGTTGGACCAGAGCCAGGGGTGTGGGTAGAAGAGATCCATCCTATTTGTCTTCAAAGGAATTCTACTATTATAAGTCATTCTACTATTATAAGTCATTCTACTATTATAGACTGATAGAAAGTTTTGTTCTGGCCCGTTTGCTTATTAGCCGAGGAGCTTTCAAGCCATGTCAATATTTAAGCTGTGTCAATATTCACAATATTGTCATGGTTTACAGTCATATATGTTGGTGTAGAATTGAATATTTATGCATGTTAGATTTATATCATATCATTCACTATTAAGTGTACATTGTCTGGCAGGCCATGCTTAAGAAGAGTGTCTTCCCCTCCTTCCTCTCCCCCAGCAGAGTAACAGGGTAACCCTTAAGATGGACGTGTCCCACACAGAGCACTCCCACGTCATCGGCAAGGGAGGCAACAACATCAAGAAGGTGATGGAGGACACAGGCTGCCACATCCACTTCCCTGACTCCAACCGCAACAACCAGGCGGAGAAGAGCAACCAGGTACGGAGAGATACACCACCGTATACAGTACCAGTCAAAAGTTTGGACATACCTACATATTCAAGGGTTTTTCTTTATTTTTACTATTTTCTACATTGTGGAATAATAGTGAAGACATCAAAACTATGAAATAACACATATGGAATCATGTAGTAACCAAAAAAGTGTTAAACAAATCAAAATATATTTTAGATTTTAGATTCTTCAAAGTAACCACCTTTTGCCTTGATGACAGCTTTGCACACTCTTGGCATTCTCTCAACCAGCTTCATGAGGAATGCTTTTCCATCAGTCTTGAAGGAGTTCCCACATATGCTGAGCACTTGTTGGCTGCTTTTCCTTCACTCTGCGGTCCAACTCATCCCAAACCATCTCAATTGGGTTGAGGTCTGGGTGATTGTGGAGGCCAGGTCATCTGATGCAGCACTCCATCACTCTCCTTGGTCAAATAGCCCTTACACAGCCTGGAGGTGTGTTTTGAGTCATCGTCCTGTTGAAAATCAAATGATAGTCCCACTAAGCGCAAACCAGATGGGATGACGTATCGCTGCAGAATGCTGTGGTAGCCATGCTGGTTAAGTGTGCCTTGAATTCTAAATAAATCACTGACAGTGTCACCAGCAAAGCACCATCACACCTCCTCCTCCATGCTTCACGGTGGGAACCACACATGCAGAGATCATCCGTTCACCTACTCTATGTCTCACAAAGACACAGCGGTTGGAACCAAAAATCTCAAATTTGGACTCATCAGACCAAAGGACAGATTTCCACCGGTCTAATGTCCATTGCTCGTGTTTCTTGGCCCAAGCAAGTCTCTTCTTATTATTGGTGTCCTTTAGTAGGGGTTTCTTTGCAGCAATTCAACCATGAAGGCCACGCAGTCTATCTCTGAACAGTTGATATTGAGATGTGTCTGTTACTTGAACTCTGTGAAGCATTTATTTGGCCTGCAATCTGAGGTGCAGTTAACTCTAATGAACTTATCCTCTGCAGCAGAGGTAACTCTGGGTCTTCCTTTCCTGTGGCGGTCCTCATGAGAGCCAGTTTCATCATAGCGCTTGATGGTTTTTGCGACTGCACTTGAAGAAACTTTCAAAGTTCTTGAAATGTTCCGGATTGACTGACCTTCATGTCTTAAAGTAATGATGGACTGTCATTTCTCTATGCTTATTTGAGCTGTTCTTGCCATAATATGGACTTGGTATTTTACCAAATAGGGCTATCTTCTGTATACCAACCCTACCAATGACATCACACCTGCCCAGACCCACCTGCTCACGCATCACTCTCCGTCACCAATTTTATCTGTAAATAATGAAAAGCTATTCAAGGATTGTTACATAGGGTTGTTTTTTTAGGGAGTGATATTGGTTCATGTAGAATACGTTTCATTTTCTTCCATATTGTTATAGTGTTCCTAACTATGAAGTTGTTAATGTTCTTAGCTTTATCCTTTGAAGATAGACATGAAAATATTCTGGGGATGAGCATGCGCAGCTTCAATATGTATCCATTGTTCCTCTTTAGTGCATTTAACTATATGTCGCAAGTAAAAGCTTTGGGTGGTGAGTTGATAGAATTCCAAGTATGGAAGGTTAAAACCACCCTCAGACTTAGGAAGATGTAAAACGTTCCTTTTTATTCTATGAGTTTTATTTGCCCATATAAAGTTTGTTATGACCGAAAGCTGTAGTATATCAGACTGTATACCATGTGTATGACAAAACATAAATGTTTACTGCTCTAATTATGTTGGTAACCAGCACTCCATCACTCTCCTTGGTCAAATAGCCCTTACACAGCCTGGAGGTGTGTTTTGAGTCATCGTCCTGTTGAAAAACAAATGATAGTCCCGCGTTGCGTCGTGCTTAAGAACAGCCCTTAGCTGTGTTATATGGGCCATATACCACACCCCCTCAGGCCTTATTGCTTAAGTATACTTTTTTAAAGAATGTCTTCAGTGGGGTGATTGGGATTACCGAGAATAAATATAAACACTTTGGCAGCCATGCCATTCTGAAGAGGTTTATTCTACCTGGAAGATTGATGGGAAGATTTTTCCATCTAATTAGATCTGCTTTGATATTGTTAAGTAATGGGATAAAGTTATCATTATATATTTCTTGTTGTCACTCATTAAGCATCCTGAGGATTTGATATTGGTTGTGGTCCACTTAAAGGACTGCTGTAGATCAGGAGTTATTGTTCTTTTTTTCCTATTGCCATTTTCTTTCTTTTCTTTCACAAGTTTTGTTACCAGCTGGTCTTAAAGAAAGGGGCTTCGTTTGTTCAGAAGTGCTGATTAAATTTGGCCAGAGTGATGGCTCTGTCGGCCAAAGCCTGGTTTTCTCCATTACAGTGAGTTACCGATGAAAGGCTTGAAAAGGGAGAGAGGAGGCGAGAGATTACGGATCCGCTGGCAGGATATCTAATAAAGGCTTTTATTTTATTTATGTCACAATTATTTTAGTCGCAGGCACACAGTCAGGATGTAAAGTGTTGAAAGGCAATGGGTGGGCCTGTGTTTTTAATTGTGGGTCTGAGTTCTTAAAGATGGTAAAAGCCTCCAAACCATCTTCCTCTTTATGGTGTTATTCTGATAGGGTTGTGATGAAAAACATAACATAACCTACCTCTTCAAACAGTATCTTAAATAATCCTCCCAACCCTACCCCCACCCCATCCCCCTTCTAGCTGACTCTACTGACAGCTACGTTATTGAGGAAAAATGTACTTTCTATGCCTGTGACATGTGGTTGCCTGTGGTTGCCTGTTCTATGCCTGTGACATCAAGCTGAACCCTGGCAAGACGGAGCTGCTCTTCCTCCCCGGGAAGGACTGCCCGTTCCATGATCTCGCCATCACGGTAGACAACTCCGCTGTGTCCTCCTCCCAGAGTGCGAAGAGCCTAGGCGTGACCCTGGACAACACCCTGTCGTTCTCCGCCAACATCAAGGCGGTGACCCGCTCCTGCAGGTTCATGCTCTACAACATTCGGAGAGTGCGACCCTGCCTTACACAGGAAGCGGCGCAGGTCCTGGTCCAGGCACTTGTCATCTCCCGTCTGGACTACTGCAACTCGCTGTTGGCTGGGCTCCCTGCCTGTGCCATTAAACCCCTACAACTCATCCAGAATGCCGCAGCCCGTCTGGTGTTCAACCTTCCCAAGTTCTCTCACGTCACCCCCCTCCTCCGCACACTCCACTGGCTTCCAATTGAAGCTCGCATCCGCTACAAGACCATGGTGCTTGCCTTTGGAGCAGTGAGGGGAACGGCACCCCTGTACCTTCAGGCTCTGATCAGTCCCTACACCCAAACGAGGACATTGCGTTCATCCACCTCTGGCCTGCTGGCTCCCCTTCCTCTGCGGAAGCACAGCTCCCCCTCAGCCCAGTCAAAACTGTTCGCTGCTCTGGCACCCCAATGGTGGAACAAGCTCCCTCACGACGCCAGGACAGCGGAGTCACTCACCACCTTCCGGAGACATTTGAAACCCCACCTCTTTAAGGAATACCTGGGATAGGCTAAAGTATTCCTTCTAACCCCCCCCCCCCCCCCCCCCCCAAATTGTAAAGTGGTTATCCCACTGGCTATAGGGTGAACGCACCAATTTGTGAGTCGCTCTGGCTAAGAGCGTCTGCTAAATGACGTTAATGTGCCCTTGAGCAAGGCACTTAACCCTAATTGCTCCTGTAAGTCGCTCTGGTTAAGAGCGTCTGCTAAATGACTAAAATGTAAAATGTAAATGTAAATGTAAATGTAAATGTAAAAATGTTGTCCCACCTAGCTATCTTAAGATGAACGCACTAACTGTAAGTCGCTGTGGATAAGAGCGTCTGCTAAATGACTAAAATGTAAACATGCAAATAAAATGAGAATGACAGGACTAAATGGCCTCTTTTCACGGCTTTAGATTCCAGTTTTGATGTAACGGTAATAGCTAAACTATAACAATGACTTCTGTCTGTCCATCTGAACAGGTGTCCATTGCAGGCCAGCCAGGAGGGGTAGAGGCAGCTCGAGCCAAAATCAGGGTAAGTTGGATGTCATTTCTATGGCGGTCTCTCTGAGGTCTGAACTATAGAACTCTGAACAGGCTGTTATTGTAAGCATGTGTCACTACAGTCATCCTTTAGTTGTCTTTTAACTGCATGTGTTAGCTGTGGAGCCTGTGAACTCTGTGGTAATGCTCTGGCTGTAGCCCATGTGGAACAGGGCACACAGGAAACGGTTCAAGTCCAGTACACAGTGCGTCTGGCTTGGTAGAGCTCCTGACCCATGTCAGAGGGCGGAGGGCCATTCCACTCGTGTGAGCCTCTGCGGTCCAGACCTTCCTCTTGTTTCTCCGCCATCGCAATTCTTCGCACGCACGTGCTTCCTCTCCGAGTGGGGAGGGAGGGAGGGAGGGAGGGAAATTATGAGGGAGGGAGGGTTAGGGAAATAGGGGGGAGGGGTAAGGTGGGTCGGGGCCGGGCTCTCACTAGTGCGCTATTCTTTCTTGTTTCAACCTTCCGATCTTTAGTGCGCGACCTCTTTCTTCGTCTCCCTCTTGCTGTATTTCTCTCCCTCGAGTTGCTTTCTTTCGTTTTTTGTTTCTTTCTCTTCTCTCCCTTATCTTCTATTCCATTCTCTTTCTATTTTTTTGCCCTTCTCTTCTTCCTAATTTTTCTTTTCTTTTTTCCTTCTTCGCTTTTAGTACGCCTGTCTCTTTTTCCTTCATCCCCCTGCTTTCTCCTTTTTCTCTTCCCTCGTCCCTCTCGCGCTTCTTCTTTCTTTCTTTCTATTCGTGTGGGTGGCGGCCCCGAGTGCGGCTGGCCGCTGCGCGGTGTCGTATGGCGGGCGGGCGGCCCCGCTTGCATGGTTGCCGGTGGCGGTCCCTCCTTCTTTCTGTGTATCCCGTGTGCCGGGGCCTTTGCCCGCTGGCGCCTTTTACCGCTTTCTCGCTCTTGCTCTCCTGTTCGTCTTGCTGTTCGTTTCCCGTCTTTCTTGCTCGGCTGGTTTTCTGGCTCTGTTTCTTTTCTTCGTCCGGCTTGCTTTCCCTCGTTGCTTGCTGGGTGCTATTTCCCTCTTTCTTATTCTTTCCCCTCCTCTCGCGGTCGCTCTCGCTCTCGCTGTCTCTCCCTCTTTCTTTTCTCCGTCTTCTTTCTTTTTCTTGCTGTCTTGCCCTCTTTCTTATCTTTCCCTCAGCATGCTTTTCCTTTGTCCCTCGTTCTTTCGCGTTCGTTCTGTTCTTCTTTCTTTGCTTGTTTCTCTTCTCTCTTTCGATGCTTCTTTCTCGTCTTCCGGTCTTCTTCGTCTCTTTCCTCTCTTTCTCTCGTTTTCTACCCTGGCCTTTCGCTTCTTCTCTCTCGCCTCTCTCTCTCGCTCTCTCCTCTCTCTCTACTCTCTCGCTCATCCTCGCGCTCTCTCTCTACTCTCTCTCGACTCTTCTCTCTCTCTCCGCTCTCTCTCTCTCTCGCTCTCCTCATCTCTCTCGCTCTCTCTTCTCTCTCTCTCTCTTTCTCATCTTTCTTCCTTCCTCTTTTTTTCTCCCCTCCCGCTTTACTCGCTCCACAGCACACACCAGCAGCGGATAGTTGGGGAGGATCAAAGACTGCTTTCCTCTCAGACAACCTGCCTGCTTCTGTCAGTCCAAACATGAATCCTCGCCTCCCAAAGCCAAACACCTAGCAGCCATACTCTACCAGTCCACCCAATCACTTAGCACCCCTTGCCCCAAACAGCAGCCCAGCTACTACCCAAACCTGTACCCTGTTCTTACTCATGCCACTCAGTACAACTATTCACACCTGTACCCTTTGGCCTATTCCCTTCATACTGCCCAACCATATGACAACATCTGTAAAGCCACCCCACATACAGTATTAACACCTACCCAGCTACCCTTAACCCAAACGTCCAACAACCCTCCAACCCTTCACCCAAATAAAAACCCTATTTTGCTTCATACGGATGTTGGCTGCAATAAGAAATGAATGAAAAGAAATGAATCACTGTCGGTCGCCACTTCGATATACACTGTTCCTCTAGCAGCAGGGTTTAGAGTTTACCTTTCATAGTTTGTTTGTTCCAGAGCAGCCTCTGTGCTGTTTGGGTTAACAGTACATGATCCTGGGTGGCCTCATCTGTCTCTGCCTGTGACCAAAACAATGATTGGATGGATTGGATGGGTTTTCCCTTCCCTGTAGTGCAGATGTGGAAATTCCCTTGTTTGTGCCGGAACTTTGGTCTTCTAGCTGTTTTAAAGGGAAGGCTCAAATTGAGTTGTACCGTGGCCCTTGAAGGCTTGATTGTGTATGATGAACGCTTTAGTCTGTATTTAGACTTTGTGCAGTCGTTATACAGTCTTTAAACAATATTTGCCATTCTGTCCTTGTGTCTGCAGAACTCATGCACACCTCCAGATTGAATACATATGAAGCTTAAAGTTGCCCGGAAGACCCGTTTTAAAAAGCTTATGGTAGTTCTGTCTGAGCCGTTCTTCATTCAGCGCCTGGTTGGGCCGTTCTGTTTGTCCTCTCTGTGTTTCCATACTCACTGACTCTGACTTTACAGTGGAACTCCTGAAACGTGATATAAAAGTAGGCCCAGAAACATATGGGATTAATCATGGGTGCATTTCTTTGGTCAGAGTAATTCATGCTGTTTGTCCTTCTCTGGCAGCCTAAGCTATGGCGTACTGCCCAAGACGGAGTGTTTGGATAAGTGTGTGTTTGTGTGTGTGTGTGTGTGTGTGTGTGTGTGTGTGTGTGTGTGTGTGTGTGTGTGTGTGTGAACTTGTCAACAAAATCTCCTGGCCTCTGTCTAGGCTGTTTGAATGACTGCTGTGATTTGAATGATGGAGTCCACTTTTAGTCTCTGTTCTCTGTGATGGCGTGACTTGATGTATTATTTAGTGACTTTACCTTAACATTTACAGTCTGAGTATGAACAGACCGTCTAGGAGCAGACATGATCTGGTACTGCAGTGTTGTACTGTATGTTTAATCAGCTCCCAATGGAAGTCTGCTGTAGAATGTGTGTGATGAAACGCGTAATGCCTTAGGTCCCTAGTGAGTACTGGCATAGTTGAACCCATTGTGATAGACAGCAGTTAGTGGTTTTATTGAGTTAAAACATTTCTATGCCATGTTTTGCCCCTCCCAGCTGAAGTGGGACATGTTATGTCTGTGTAGATGTGCACATGCCAACCCTATGTAAAGAGATCTCTCTCAACGTTTTCACTCTTTATGTTTTTACTGTTTCACTATTCTAATGGACTCCGTTACATACTACAGGGCAATTGCGTAAAGTTTGCACTTGTGGCAAAAAGATAGTATGATGATGGTAATGGCAATAACTATATGCAGTGGTGGAAAAAGTACTCAATTGTCATACTTGAGTAAAAGTAAATGCTATTCATCAAATTCCTTATATTAAAGCTGCAGTATGTAACTGTTTGGGCGAACTGACCAAATTCACATAGAAATGTTAGTTATAAATCTGTCATTCTCATTTATAGCAAGTCTAAGAAGCAGTAGAACTGTTCTATGTGCAGTATTTCTATGTTTCCCGTTCTTAATTTTCGTTGTTGCATCTTTTACTTTCAGTTTTGTACACCAGCTTCAAACAGCTGAAAATACAATATTTTTTGTTCTGGAAAATATTTTTCACAGCGGTTTAGATGGTACAATGATTCTCTACACTATACTTGCTTGTTTTGTCATATAAACTGAAATTAGGCGAACTATTCGAATTTTAGCAACCAGAACATGTAGGAGCGATTTCTGCAGATTTTTTAAATTTAAATTACGGACAGTCGGGAACACTCCAACACTCAAACGCAGTATTTGAGATTATTGACTCCGCCAGATCAGAGGCAGTAGGGATGGCAATGAGTTATATTGATAGGTGCATGAATTGGACCATATTGCTGTCCTACCTGAGCATTCGAAATGTAACTAGTACTTTTGGGTGTCAGGGAAAATGTATGGGAGTAAAAAGTACATATTTTCTTTAGGACTGTAGTGAAGTAAAAGTTGTCCAAAATATAAATAGTTTAGTACAGATACCCCAGAAAACAACTTAAATAGTATTTTTACTTATTTTCTTTACACCACTGACTGTATGTATGACGCTCTCTCTCTCCCTTTCTCTCTCTCTTTCTGTAACTCTCTCACACTCTTTCTCTTCGTCTATTCATCTTAATCATTCTCAGGAGCTGCTCCCTCTGGTTCTGTCGTTTGAGTTGCCGGCCATCGTGCAGCCTGACCCAGGCTCCCCAACAGTGCAGCACATCACCCAGACATACAACCTCAACGTCTCCTTCAAGCCCCCCACACGTCTCTACGGGACCACCGGAGTGGTCCGCGGCTCCCAGAACAACTCTAGTGCCGTCAAGGTGAGGCCCAGCTACACCCCTCACATCTACCCACCAATACACCACAGTACTTACAGAACAGAAGGGGTTGGGGCCTAGTGGTTAGAGAAGTGGACTGCTGTGACCAGAGGGTTGCTTGGTCAGCTCCCTAGTGGGAATTACAGTACTTTTGCCTTTAAAACCAAGCACTGTTCTCTAACCCATGAGCAAGTAAATCTCCCTCCTGATTAAATGTCTAATATAAGTCGTCTGGAGCCTTGCTCACCACTCAACCCAACATCCCCGGACCCACCACCCACCTCCCACTGACCCACCCGCACTCTGACCCTCAATACAACCCAACCTAGGGGAGTTGAGTTAGTGGACGGGTGGAGGGGGTCATTTTGACTTGGGATGCTGGCCAGATTGGGGGTTGTGGGGGAGTATGTATGCTATGTAGTGGGAGACCTTGCTCTGTAAAAGGGGTCTGCCAAAACCACTGTGGATTACTGTGCTGGCCTCAGGCTGGAGTTCCATTGGAAGTCCTTCCTATTAATCTAGTGATTGTTTGCAGAGGCAGAGGAGGCAGAGAATCAGACCATTCTGTTGGCTGCCAGGTGACATTGAAAAACAGTGGTTTACTTTGGTGGAAACTATGGTTGAAATGTTGTTGGTTCACTAGCGCAGAGTGGACACTCTTGGTTTTTCTAATTGGTTTTTCTTCCTGCTCTTTTGCCATAACTGTGTTTTCCCTTGCCCCAGTGGGTAACTTTAGTTGAGAGTGCTGTCCACACACAGTCACTCACTCACCTTTGCTAGCTCCTTTGAGCAGAGCGCCTCGACATTTGTCCGCACACTGTAAGAAAAGACTAATCGAAATATTACTAGATTCTGCAGATTGACTGATTGTATTGATATATTCATTGATTGATTTTCTTCTCATCCCAGAGAGGCACTGCCATGCTGCTGGAGCACCTGGCGGGCAGCCTGGCAGGTGCCATCTCGGTCAGTACCCACCTGGACATCGCCCCCCAGCACCACCTCTTCATGATGGGCCGCAACGGCAGCAACATCAAGCACATCACCCAGAGGACAGGAGCCCAGATCCACTTCCCCGACCCCAACAGCCCCCAGAAGAAATCTACCGTCTACATCCAGGGCGTCATCGAGTCTGTCTGCCTGGCACGCCAGTACCTCATGGTATGTGTTCATGCATGGTTTGTATAGATTAAGTAATTGCCTTGTTTCTGTTAGAGCATGACCTCGCATATGGATTTCTGTTTATTTTATTGTTTTATTGTGTTCTGACCCTGACCAAGACACTTTCAGCTATGTGGTTTGCAAATATGTAAAATGTTGGTCATTTAATTAAACATTTGCTGAGCAAGATGTCAAAGACATTACATTTAAAGAGTTTGGCATCCTGCTTAATGTAATGTTAACCATAATATAGGGCAGCTATGCTAGCCAGTGTTGGCGTCCTTTGTCTGTGGCAGTTTTGCCCAAAGACTCTTGAAAAATGCGGAAGTCGTTTTGTAAACATAACTTTTTCTGTCTGGACGTGGGACACACAAGAAGAGGCCCCTCTGGTCTGCCTTGGGAGAACCGAGTCATTTGACGAGGAGATGAGCCTCCCCCACAGAGAGCCATGTTTAGACCATCTCGCAGACTGTAAATTACGGCTCCGGCTCCGGCCCCGGCCTGTCACCACCAGCTTGGCCCAACTGGTTTAATTACACACAATGGGAAGGCCTCTCTATCGCTCAGCTGAATATAACGTAGGAATGAGATTGTGGTGGAATCATGCAAAACAGGCATTTTTGGTCAATTGTTTTGGAATTTCCCAAGTAGTGGTTTTTCAACTGAGCCTTCTCTCTTAATTGAAATGTCTGGTCAGGAAAAACTCTGTCCCTGTTGTTTTCGATGAGTGTTAGTTCTGTAACAAGAGTCTGTTTGCTAGGACGTGATGATGATGTGTGTGTGTTCCACAGGGCTGTCTACCCCTGGTGCTGATGTTTGACATTAAAGAGGACATTGAGGTGGAGCCCCAGTGTATCACAGCTCTGATGGAGCAGCTAGATGTCTTCATCAGCATCAAGCCCAAACCAAAGCAACCCAGCAAGGTACGACACTAAAACATGAACATCTAGTATGTTACACAGTGGCCTTAACACAAATCCAGTAAGCTACTTTACCATGCTACAGCTAAGACCCAAGGTTTTTCTCCTGGCCCTAACTATAGTGTTGGAAAAAAATTATACAGTTACATAGAGCAATATTATTTTGGGACAACATTATATTGATATTTGACTCAAGGTATCGTTATTTTATATTTATTTTTCTACTGTAGGTAACGTTAGCTAGCACTAGTCGGCTGTACCTGAACCAAAACTCCGGTATTTTTCATCCTATAGCTTGTTCTCCATCTTCTTTTTAAATAGTGAGCCAATATGTTTACAGCACCTTTTTTTTACACTGACTGATCAAAACTTGTTTTCTCATGTTCTCTCTTGTCTCTCTGCAGCAGACATATGGTGAGCAATATGTTTGGAACATCAAATCGCAATAAAATCGCAGTATCGAATCGCAATACATATAGAAGCTTGAGAATTGCAATACATATCCTATCGGCACCTAAGTACATAATATCGTATCGTGAGGTCCCTGGCAATTCCCAGCCCTACCTAACTACAAAGCACCTCGCGTCATAAGCCAAACAATATATTAGGCACATCAAACCTGCTGGGCCCCAGCCTAACCACCTTAGCCAGGTGCCCTTTCCTCAGTGTGCCCAGCATGATGCCCAAACCCAGACAGGCCAGTGGGGAACAGTGGTGTGGTGCCAGTGTAAACGCAGCCCTACCCAGACCTCTCTTCTTTAATGAGGTGACACCACTAATCCAAACGGCCTTCCAAACACTGCTCTGCTTCTGGCTATTTGGCTACTCCATAAAGAAGGGTGTGGAGACAGAAAAATCGTGACTGGACTCGATTTGGCAGGGCCCACTTTGGCAAGTGTAGGACCACAGAAATGATTTGTGTGCATGTTCATTTTTTATTCCTCGCTATTTTATAAGCACTCTTTATGGTAATGCTGGAACTGGAGAAAGTTGAATATCCTTTCCGAACTCCCTTAAGCTTTCTAATGCGTGAATTGAAGTGAACCCACTTTATCAAAATTATGTTTTGACTTTTACTAATCCCCTTTGATTCCACTGTTCATTCCATTAAAGAAAAATTGATTACATTGCTGAAGTGCATTTCATTCTGACAACAACCTGCCATGTTGTTTTCTCTCTTTTCCTCTGTCTCTCCATCTCTCTCTTTCTCCCACTCTCTCTTCCCCAGTCTGTGATAGTAAAGAGTGTGGAGCGGAATGCAGTGAACATGTACGAGGCCCGGAAGTTTCTGCTGGGTCTGGAGAGCAACGGGGTGTCATCATCAGCCCTGTCCCCCTCCACCAATGTCCCCTCCCCCACCCTCATCTGTCCCGTCGGCCTGGACATCCTGGCCTCAGCTGGCCTGGGGCTGAGCAGTCTGGGTAATGGAGTTCTCTTTACATCTGCCTCTTACACCATTATGAGAATTCTGTAAGAAAATCGATGGTGCCTTTCTACAAATGTACAAGGTCAACCCAAGACCCTTTTCCACACACGTTTATAGATCAGTGATTGAAAAAGAAGCTTGAGTGTCATATGTAATCCAATTGTATTTTTATCTTGTTAAAGGAAACAATAAAAATGAAAGAAATATATAAAAGAGACAAACCCCTTTACAACAGAATGAATTATGAATCATGAGATAAACTGTTGTGTGTAGGAGGTTTATGTCTGGAAACTGACCACATTGACAGTGAGAATGAATGTCCTGCTCAAGGCCATCTCTTCCTGGGGCGTACAGTATGAACCCAAAGGCCCATGGGTAAGATATGGGCCTCCACAGCTCGGCCTGTAGTTAATTGCTACATCCCTCGCCATCAGATTACAGCTCAGCCTGCCAGAGAAATCCAAGCCTTATTTCTGGAGTCAAATGAGCCGTTTGTCAAACCCACAAACCTGTTTCAGTCTGCTTTGATATGTTTGGGTTGAAAGTAGCATAGTTTAGCATGTAGTTATTGACTGTGTTGAGTTATATTTGTCAAAGGCCCAGTTCTCTCAAATGTCTCTCTCTTATTTCAATCCTGACCACTGATATGAAAGGATTTGATGAGTGGTGGTGGTAGTATGCAATAATATCTATTACTGGTGTGGGAAGAAATGATTTGTAGAGTGATACTGTATTGAGACAGTCTTATACTGTGTTTTTCTCTCCTCCAGGCCTCCTAGGGGCATCAGCGCCCCATTCCCTCAGTAGCTCCCCAGCTCCAAACTCTGTCCTCAACAGTCTGAACTCTTCCATGAGCCCTATGCAGAACCCCAGCCCCAGCACCCCGTCTCCCTCCCCCTCACTGTGGCCCAGCTCTCTCACAAGCACCCAAGGTGAGTACAGTTGGCTGGTGCACAATCTCTCACGGTCTCACACCTTCAGGTCTCTCACCTTGTTCACAAATAGCTAGAAGGGATTGATATGATGAAAGTGTTATGATAACGCTGTAGGATTTCCTCCCTCGTGTGTCCAGGCTTCTCGTCTCAGTTGATGATGCACCCTGTAGCCCAGGCCACTCTGAGCAGTATTCTGCTCTCTGGGGTCAAGGGGTACACCCAGAACACCCCCTCCCCACCCCCCGGCCTCGCCCCCATCGACAAACAGACCAATGGGGTCCCTGACTGCTCCAAAGGCCCCTGTACCCTGAATGGACATGTCAAGGTGACTGATTTTTATAGACCCATATTCACTAACTGTTACATTGAATGTATACCTTGCCTATAGTGAGTATTCTGTATAGGGCTACATGTGTGTGTGTGTGTGTGTGTGTGTGTGTGTGTGTGTGTGTGTGTGTGTGTGTGTGTGTGTGTGTGTGTGTGTGTGTGTGTGTGCAGCACCCTGGCTCAGTCTATGGTAGGATGACCAGTGCATCTCTGGCAGACACGGTTCTGAACCCCAACCAGTGTGACTCAGTCCAGGAGGCCAGCGTACACAACTCGTCAGAACCCCGCTCCAGCAAGTCCAACCAAGATGAAGGTACCACGTACACACCGCACCTACAGAAAACAAGGAAATGTGTAGCTCTTGTAGCTATGCTTTAAAGAGGTTTATAAAATCAAAAGAAAGCCTTGGTATTTGCCCTTATTACCTGCTAAGTGAATTTATACCACAATATATTTGTATTTTTCTTATACGTAGATCAATATGCGGTCCAGTCCATATTCTCAAACCACTTTTCTCAGGTTGCAGCAGGGTGACATTGATGGCTGGTATTCCAGTGGTTGAGGTCCCTAATTTCCTGCGTCTCTAATGTGTGGTTTGAGTGTAGCCTGGCTCTCACGCTCCTCACATTCCCGTGTTGTTGGAGCTGGAGCTCAGTGGGATCTGCCTCAGCCCCAGCCTGGCTGGTCACAGTAGTAACTTTTTCCTCTCCCTGACCTCCTCCTGTGTTCCAACTGGCTCTGTTCCCCGTAACCATCAAGCCCAGGGAGAACCAACCAAACATAAAAGACTATCGAGGCCTACACTCACACACACACACCGATCCTGTTCTGCAGGCCGGGTTACTGCCTGGAACTGTGGGAGTAGAAGAAGAAAGCTCCTTCATTAGACTGCTTCTGTTTTGAATGAACACAGGTGCCAACTGTGAGTTTTAGCAGCTACATTTAGTCACGTTCAAGCCATCGTGCAGAGTGACTTACAGAGAACGTACTGTTATGTCATTTATACATGACAGACGATGGAAAGCTGAGCAACAAGGCACTTGAAAGAAAAGGTTGCTATGGAAGTACAAAAACTTGGTTGTCAAGCACAGGTATTGCATAATAATGTAAAGAGTATAATAGTACATACAGTCAGATATATAGCCTATTGACTAACTTCATTAAATCACGAAGGAAGGAATATAATATCCCACATGTTACTGTTTCTTCACAAATGCTCTTTTACTTTCTTTCCGCCAGGCTCTGACACCTTTGTGGAAGTGGGCATGCCCAGAAGCCCATCTCACTCAGCCAATGGCAACGAGCTAAAACAGATGCTGGCTTCCTGTAAGACGTCAGGGAAACGGCAGGCGGTGGAGCTCCTCCAGGGGACCAAGAACTCCCATCTCCAGTATGTCTGTCCAGAGCTACAGTAAGACTACCTACATCACATATTTTAAGGACTTCAGAGATGTCCTCACTCTTTCATTCCTGTGCCTAAAGGGTATAACAATACGATTCCAACTTGTTCTAGTTCACTGGGTATGACTCCCATACATTCATAGAATAGAAAAGAAAAGCACTTTGTGACAACTGCTGATATAAAAAGGGCTTTATAAAATATATTTGATTGGTTGGTAGAAAATAATACTAAATAAACAGTGCTGTATGTCTTGTCTGTGCTTTAGGCGTCTCTGTTGTGATGGGGTTTGTACCTTGCTGTCTTTCTAATATGATCGTAGCTCTCTGTTGTCTCCCCCCCACAGCTCAGACTGCCTCCTGTCAGACCCAGAGTCGAGTGCTTCAGACGGCCCTGTGACAGATAAGAGGGCGCCGGGCAGTGAGCGGGCAGCAGAGAGGGCAGCACAGCAGAATGAGAGGGACAGGATCCGCTTGGCACCACATTCCTCCTTTGCCAACATGCAGGTACAACTAGAGGTATTCCAACTCCACTTTTCTCTCTCACATACACGCGCTCACACATCAGTAGATGGCTCATGTGAATTTGATAGGTAGAAAAACTGACACTGACCTTCCTCTCCGTTTCAGGCACTTGAATATGAACAGAAAAAGCTGTTAGCAACCAAAGGTAAGTGTCAATCTTTCGGGCAATTCCTGCCTAATCTCAAGGGATACTGTGTTATCTTTTCAGACCTTTCTCACTAATTGGTAACAGAGGTTTTATCTGTGTCTGTGTCCAGCCATGTTGAAGAAGCCTGTTGTGACTGAGGTACGGACCCCCACTAACACATGGAGTGGGCTGGGTTTCTCCAAGTCCATGCCAGCAGAGACCATCAAGGAGCTGCGCAGGGCCAACCACGTTTCTTACAAACCCACAATGAGTACCACCTACGAGGTAAACTCCGACTATGAGGTAAACACCAATGGACCACTCTACTATTGAAGAGAATGTGTTTTTACTAACATATCTGATATAAAAGCTTATGCAAAGACTGTAATAGTGATCTAGTGAGATATACATGGCGGAGACTCAATCAAGCTAGTCGTCTTGACTTCTTTCTTTTATCATTCTCGTTGGCAAAAAAGTGTTGATAGGGGACAGAATGCGGTCGGACCATCATATAATTGGCATATACATTACGCTTACTGAATTTCCACGTGGGCGAGGATATTGGACATTTAATCAAAGCCTATTGGATGATAACTTGTTTTTAACAAGGACAGAGGAATTTATAACTGATTTTTTCCGACATAACATAGGTACACCAAATCCCCTTATTGTATGGGACACCTTTAAATGTGCCTTTAGAGGCCATGCAATTCAGTACTCATCTCGAAAACAAAAGCAATTTAGGTCAAAAGAGTCCATACTAACAAAGGAAATAGAAGGTCTAACAGAACAGATAGATAGCAATAAAAACTGTAACATAGAGGCTCAGAATAAATTAGAGGAAAAACAAAAAGAAATGGAGAAACTTATTCAAGAAAGATCAAGTGTAATATATTATAGAAATAAAGCAAACTGGATGGAATATGGGACACCAAATTCTTTTTAAATCTTCAACATAGGAATGCTACCAAAAATAATTTACTGAAACTGGTTACAAATGACGGAGTCACCCATGATTAACCAAATTATATTTTGAAGGAGGAAACAAAGTACTTTAAGCATATGTTTTCGTTTCAGTCGCCTCCATCTTCTCTAACTGAAGCTAATTGTAGAGATTTTTTTTCTATTGATAATGTAAAAATTAACAGCCATACAGAAAGACTCATGTGAAGGTGAAATTACAGAGGAGGAACTTCTGGATGCAATTAAAGACTTTAAGTCCGGGAAAAGTCCAGGGTTGGATGGCATACCAGTCGAGGTATACCAAACCTTTTTTGATATACTCAGACAACCGTTATTAGCATGTTTTAACCACTCCTATGTAAACGGTAGATTATCAGACACTCAAGAAGAAGGTCTGATTTCATTATTACTGAAACAGGATACAAGTGGAAAATATAAAGATCCAGGCATTTAAAAAATTGGAGGCCCCTTACACTTCAGTGTTGTGATGCAAAAATTCTAGCAAAATGTATAGCGCATAGAATTAAAAAGACATTTTTACATGGAAGATACAGTGAGGGGAAAAAAGTATTTGATCCCCTGCTGATTTTGTATGTTTGCCCACTGACAAAGAAATGATCAGTCTATAATTTTAATGGTATCCAGAAAAACGCATGTCAAAAATGTTATAAATTGATTTGCATTTTAGTGAGGGAAAATAAGTATTTGACCCCCTCTCAATCAGAAAGATTTCTGGCTCCCAGGTTTATACAGGTAACGAGCTGAGATTAGGAGCACACTCTTAAAGGGGGTGCTCCTAATCTCAGCTTGTTACCTGTATAAAAGACACCTGTCCACAGAAGCAATCAATCAATCAGATTCCAAACTCTCCACCATGGCCAAGACCAAAGAGCTCTCCAAGGATGTCAGGGACAAGATTGTAGACCTACACAAGGCTGGAATGGGCTACAAGACCATCACCAAGCAGCTTGGTGAGAAGGTAACAACACTTGGTGCGATTATTCGCAAATGGAAGAAACACAAAAGAACTGTCAATCTCCCTCGGCCTGGGGCTCCATGCAAGATCTGGGACCATAGTCAATGATCAATGATCTCAAGGCAGCTGGGACCATAGTCACCAAGAAAACAATTGGTAACACACTACGCCGTGAAGGACTGAAATCCTACAGCGCCTGCAAGGTCCCCCTGCTCAAGAAAGCACATATACAGGCCCGTCTGAAGTTTGCCAATGAACATCTGAATGATTCAGAGGAGAACTGGGTGAAAGTGTTGTGGTCAGATGAAACCAAAATCGAGCTCTTTGGCATCAACTCAACTCACCGTGTTTGGAGAAGGGGGAATGCTGCCTATGACCCCAAGAACACCATCCCCACTGTCAAACAAGGAGGTGGAAACATTATACTTTGGGGGTGTTTTTCTGCTAAGGGGACAGGACAACTTCACCGCATCAAAGGGACGATGGACGGGACCATGTACCGTCAAATCTTGGGTGAGAACCTCCTTCCCTCAGCCAGGGCATTGAAAATGGGTTGTGGATGGGTATTCCAGCATGACAATGACCCAAAACACACGGCCAAGGCAACAAAGGAGTGGCTCAAGAAGAAGCACATTAAGGTCCTGGAGTGGCCTAGCCAGTCTCCAGACCTTAATCCCAATGAAAATCTGTGGAGGGAGCTGAAGGTTCGAGTTGCCAAATGTCAGCCTCGAAACCTTAATGACTTGGAGAAGATCTGCAAAGAGGAGTGGGACAAAATCCCTCCTGAGATGTGTGCAAACCTGGTGGCCAACTACAAGAAACGTCTGACCTCTGTGATTGCCAACAAGGGTTTTGCCACCAAGTACTAAGTCATGTTTTGCAGAGGGGTCAAATACTTATTTCCCTCATTAAAATGCAAATCAATTTATAACATTTTTGACATGCGTTTTTCTGGATTTTGTTGTTGTTATTCTGTCACTCACTGTTCAAATAAACCTACCATTAAAATTATAGACTGATCATGTATTTGTCAGTGGGCAAACGTACAAAATCAGCAGGGGATCAAATACTTTTTTCCCTCACTGTACATTGGAGATAATATAAGGCAAGTACTGGAAACAATAGAACACTATTACCAATAAAATGGTCTGTTGGTGATGTGGATAGACTCGGAATACATATCCCAAATGAAATAAATGATCTCACTCCAATACATTTTATTAGAAAGCTAGCAAAAATAGATAAGATCTTGTTACCATGGAAAGGTAAATACCTGCCTGTTTGTGGGAAAATCACCCGGATTAACTCTTTAGTATTATCCCAGTTTACCTATATGCTTATGGTCTTGCCTACGCCTAGTGAACAGTTTTTTTAATTATATGAGAAAAAATATTCCATTTTATTTGGAACGGCAAGCCAGACAAAATTAAACGGGCCTATTTATATAATGAATATGAATTCAGAGGATCAGAAATTATTAAATATTAAAGCATTAGACCTATCACTAAAAGCTTCAGTCATACAAAAGTTATACTTAAATCCGAACTGGTTCTCTAGCAAATTAGTAAGATCGTATCACCCAATGTTCAAGAATGGCCTTTTTCCCTTTATTTAGATTACAACCTCTCACTTTCAGTTATTTGAAAAGGAAATCATCTCCCAATATCACTATTTCTAAAACAAGCCATAGAAAGTTGGTTGCAATTTCAATTTAATCCTCCAGAAACAACAGAACAAATAATGCAACAAATATTGTGGTTAAACTCAAATATACTAATTGATAATACAACTTTTTTTTTTGACATAATGTTTAAAAAAGGTATACTCTTCGTAAATGATCTCATCGGTAGGACTGGTGGAGTCATGTCGCACATGCAGCTAACAAAAACATATGGAAATGTCTGCTCTACCCAAAATTACAACCAAATAATTGCAGCATTACCGCAAAAATGGAAGAGGAAAGTGGAAGGGGGGAAAAAGTAAGGAACTTGTCTGTCGGCCTTGCATTAAAGAACATAATTGGTTAAAGAAAACTGTGATAAATAAAAAAGTATACCAGTTTCATTTAAGGACCAAAAGATTGACAGCCGTCCCATATACAGTGGGGAAAAAAAGTATTTAGTCAGCCACCAATTGTGCAAGTTCTCCCACTTAAAAAGATGAGAGAGGCCTGTAATTTTCATCATAGGTACACGTCAACTATGACAGACAAAATGAGGGAAAAAAATCCAGAAAATCACATTGTAGGATTTTTTATGAATTTATTTGCAAATTATGGTGGAAAATAAGTATTTGGTCACCTACAAACAAACAAGATTTCTGGCTCTCACAGACCTGTAACTTCTTCTTTAAGAGGCTCCTCTGTCCTCCACTCGTTACCTGTATTAATGGCACCTGTTTGAACTTGTTATCAGTATAAAAGACACCTGTCCACAACCTCAAACAGTCACACTCCAAACTCCACTATGGCCAAGACCAAAGAGCTGTCAAAGGACACCAGAAACAAAATTGTAGACCTGCACCAGGCTGGGAAGACTGAATCTGCAATAGGTAAGCAGCTTGGTTTGAAGAAATCAACTGTGGGAGCAATTATTAGAAAATGGAAGACATACAAGACCACTGATAATCTCCCTCGATCTGGGGCTCCACGCAAGATCTCACCCCGTGGGGTCAAAATGATCACAAGAACGGTGAGCAAAAATCCCAGAACCACACGGGGGGACCTAGTGAATGACCTGCAGAGAGCTGGGACCAAAGTAACAAAGCCTACCATCAGTAACACACTACGCCGCCAGGGACTCAAATCCTGCAGTGCCAGATGTGTCCCCCTGCTTAAGCCAGTACATGTCCAGGCCCGTCTGAAGTTTGCTAAAGTGCATTTGGATGATCCAGAAGAGGATTGGGAGAATGTCATATGGTCAGATGAAACCAAAATAGAACTTTTTGGTAAAAACTCAACTCGTCGTGTTTGGAGGACAAAGAATGCTGAGTTGCATCCAAAGAACACCTTACCTACTGTGAAGCATGGGGGTGGAAACATCATGCTTTGGGGCTGTTTTTCTGCAAAGGGACCAGGACGACTGATCCGTGTAAAGGAAAGAATGAATGGGGCCATGTATCGTGAGATTTTGAGTGAAAACCTCCTTCCATCAGCAAGGGCATTGAAGATGAAACGTGGCTGGGTCTTTCAGCATGACAATGATCCCAAACACACCGCCCGTGCAACGAAGGAGTGGCTTCGTAAGAAGCATTTCAAGGTCCTGGAGTGGCCTAGCCAGTCTCCAGATCTCAAACCCCATAGAAAATCCTTGGAGGGAGTTGAAATCCGTGTTGCCCAGCACAGCCCCAAAACTCCACTCACTGCTCTATAAGGCTATATTCATGGATGAATGGGCCAAAATACCAGCAACAGTGTGTGAAAACCTTGTGAAGACTTACAGAAACGTTTGACCCTGGTTCAGGCCAACAAATGGTAATTAACAAAGTTTGAGAAACTTTTGTTTATTGAACCAAGATACGTTCTTCCATTTCCCCTAATAATGCCCCCACATTTGATTTTAAAACCAAGTGCTTCCCTTTTGCAGATTAGTCTTCCAGCCTGGTGAGGCAAACAATTTGTTTCTGGGTCCTTTAAAAGCCTTGGTCTTGGCCATAGTGGAGTTGGAGTGTGACTGTTTGGGGTTGTGGACAGTGTCTTTATACTGATAACAAGTTCAAACAGGTGCCATTAATACAGGTAACGATGGAGGCCCAGAGGAGCCTCTTAAAGAAGAGTAAGTTGTAGAGCCAAAAACTTGCTTGTTGTAGGTGACCAAATACTTATTTTCCACCATAATTTGCAAATAAATTCATAAAAAATCCTACAATGTGATTTCTGGATTTTTTTTCCTCCATTTTTTCTGTCATAGTTGACGTGTACCTATGATGAAAATTACAGGCCTCTCTCATCTTTTTAATGGGGAAACTTGCAAAAATTTGGGGGCTGACTAATACTTTTTTTCCCCACTGTAGATTGCAAAATATGGGAAAAAAATTTTTGACGTACCAATTCCATGGCATAGTGTTTATGAATGATAAGACAAAACGACGCCGGATTCAAAACTTAGGGAATTTTTTTAATTTAAATTATTAAAAAAAATTTTTGCAACAAATAAGTATTTTTGGGGGGAAAAATTCCATTGAATTTTTTTGGAAAGGCAGAAGAAAATTGATATTTTTGGATGCCAGTAGTTTTTTTTTTTTGGGAAAAGGTCGGGGGAATGGCTAAAATTAATTTTTCCCCCAATAATAATAAAATTTTATCTGAAAAACATAGAAAGTCAATTTAAAATACAGAAAAGTTTTTTTCAATTTAAAAATTGTGAAAAAGAGAAAGGGGTTTAGAACTTTTATAAAACACAAATAAAAATAAAAATATAAAAATTAGATAAGTTTGTGTTAAGAGATAAGAATTGTGGTTGAAGGTTGGGACTAAATAAAACATAAAAAAAATTACAATAAGAAGAATACGTGCATAATCATAATAAGTATATGGTTATAGGTTGAGAGCTTTGGTGGAAAGAGGACAGTTAGAAAGATATGGTATGGCATATAGAAGCAAACCGGATGGACATCATGAAAATGAGAGGTTGAGGGGTTAGAGGAAGTTCAGGAGTAAAAACAAACAAAATAGAATTATTGTAAAATTGACTGTGTCCATAATGTATATAGTATGTATAAGCAGGAAGTAGAGGCCTAAGCGTTGTTGTTCACTAGTTTACTCCAATTAGGGAAGGGTGGTGGGGTTGGAAAGTAATAAAGGGAAATATTTTTTTTTAAAGTATGTGTATGTATGTGTGTATGTATGTATGTATGTATGTGTGTATATATATATATATATATATATATATATGTGTGTATATACAGTGGGGGAAGAAAGTATTTAGTCAGCCACCAATTGTGCAAGTTCTCCCACTTAAAAAGATGAGAGAGGCCTGTAATTTTCATCATAGGTACACGTCAACTATGAAGACAAAATGAGGGAAAAAAAATCCAGAAAATCACATTGTAGGATTTTTAATGAATTTATTTGCAAATTATGGTGGAAAATAAGTATTTGGTCACCTACAAACCAAACATGATTTCTGGCTCTCACAGACCTGTAACTTCTTCTTTAAGAGGCTCCTCTGTCCTCCACTCGTTACCTGTATTAATGGCACCTGTTTGAACTTGTTATCAGTATAAAAGACACCTGTCCACAACCTCAAACAGTCACACTCCAAACTCCACTATGGCCAAGACCAAAGAGCTGTCAAAGGACACCAGAAACAAAATTGTAGACCTGCACCAGGCTGGGAAGACTGAATCTGCAATAGGTAAGCAGCTTGGTTTGAAGAAATCAACTGTGGGAGCAATTATTAGAAAATGGAAGACATACAAGACCACTGATAATCTCCCTCGATCTGGGGCTCCACGCAAGATCTCACCCCGTGGGGTCAAAATGATCACAAGAACGGTGAGCAAAAATCCCAGAACCACACGGGGGGACCTAGTGAATGACCTGCAGAGAGCTGGACCAAAGTAACAAAGCCTACCATCAGTAACACACTACGCCGCCAGGGACTCAAATCTGCAGTGCCAGATGTGTCCCCCTGCTTAAGCCAGTACATGTCCAGGCCCGTCTGAAGTTTGCTAAAGTGCATTTGGATTGATCCAGAAGAGGATTGGGAGAATGTCATATGGTCAGATGAAACCAAAATAGAACTTTTTGGTAAAAACTCAACTCGTCGTGTTTGGAGGACAAAGAATGCTGAGTTGCATCCAAAGAACACCATACCTACTGTGAAGCATGGGGGTGGAAACAGGAACGGGACTGATCCGTGTAAAGGAAAGAATGAATGGGGCCATGTATCGTGAGATTTTGGTGAAAACCTCCTTCCATCAGCAAGGGCATTGAAGATGAAACGTGGCTGGGTCTTTCAGCATGACAATGATCCCAAACACACCGCCCGGGCAACGAAGGAGTGGCTTCGTAAGAAGCATTTCAAGGTCCTGGAGTGGCCTAGCCAGTCTCCAGATCTCAACCCCATAGAAAATCTTTGGAGGGAGTTGAAAGTCCGTGTTGCCCAGCAACAGCCCCAAAACATCACTGCTCTAGAGGAGATCTGCATGGAGGAATGGGCCAAAATACCAGCAACAGTGTGTGAAAACCTTGTGAAGACTTACAGAAAACGTTTGACCTGTGTCATTGCCAACAAATGGTATATAACAAAGTATTGAGAAACTTTTGTTATTGACCAAATACTTATTTTCCACCATAATTTGCAAATAAATTCATTAAAAATCCTACAATGTAGTTTTCTGGATTTTTTTTCCTCATTTTGTCTGTCATAGTTGACATGTACCTATGATGAAAATTACAGGCGTCTCTCATCTTTTTAAGTGGGAGAACTTGCACAATTGGTGGCTGACTAAATACTTTTTTCCCCCACTGTGTGTATATATATATATATATATATATATATATATATATAAAATATATATATATTTGTGAGGGGGAAAAAAACATATGGGGGATTGGAAGTGATGCAGACAATTACATTGATGGAAGTTACAATCTATCTGCAATATTAAAGCTGATCTACCCCCTAAAAAATTTAAATAAAATAAAAAATAAAGACTGTAATATGAATTTTAAATCTGTAAAGCAAAAGAGTTAACTGAATTGATACTCTTATTCACAGAACTAAACCATTAGTGAGAGCTTATAACTGCAGCCCATGTATCTATCAGTAGGATCTGATATCCCCCTTCTCTCCCCCAGGGCTCCCCCCTGTCCCTGTCCCGCTCTGGCAGCAGAGAGGGCGTGGGCAACGGCAGTGACTCTGACAACTGGAGGGACAGGAACGGGGTTGGGAACGGTCTTCCCAGCCACGCCGAATTCCCAGCGTCTGTTAGCAGTCCCAAGAGGAAGCAGAACAAATCCGGTGAGCTACCCAGCAGATACTCATCTCAACTTTTTTTAATGAAATCAAAGGAGAAGAAAGACAAAGGGAAGAAGATCAACACGCTCAGTCAACTCTCTCAAAGGTTTTGATGAAAAACTTATGATGAGAAAGAAAGAAAATCTAACCTTGAACAGCAGATGCTGTGTGAAGATTGCCTCATTAATTAAAATGTGTGGGAGTAGATGTGTTTTATAAGTGTTCCTTCCTCCTACACACCTGCACTCAGCAAAGTTCAAGAGACCAGATGCGTCTGTTCATTTCCACCTCATGTTCTTACCCTTGTATCAAATTATTTGTTATCATCAAAGTCAATCACTACCGGTAATGCTGTAAAGAAGCACACATCTATTCTACAGTATCTTGGCTTGTATTGCAAACATTAAAGACAATCAAACGGCATTCTCTTGCTTTAATAGATACAAATGACTAACTCACCACAATGTTTCAGCAGCAAGATGCGTAAAGGTTTATTTTATGTTGCATCAATCTTTTTTTACAATGATAACTGTCTATGAAAATCGTCTTTAATATTGACTGTCTGACTTGTCATTGACTTGTCTTGTCTTCCTGTGACTGCTTTTGACTGACAGCTGCGGATCACTATTTGAGCAGCAGTAACTACATGGACTGTATCTCCTCAGTCACCGGGAGCAACGGCTGCAGTCTCCAGCCCTCTCTCAAAGGGTCGGACCTGCCGGAGCTGTTCAGCAAGCTGGGCCTGGGGAAATACACTGACGTGTTCCAACAACAGGAGGTACTGGCCTATAGCCGCCGTAGCAAAACAATTAGAATAAATAAATAAATAAAATAATGCCTTTCGTGAACTAACACTCGCACTTAACCTTTTTTTTTTTTTTACCAGCTGTGACTTTGCTGATAGCTACTTTATTGAGGAAACATGTACTTACTATGCCTGTGACATGTGGTTGTCCCACCTCGCTATCTTAAGATGAATGTACTAACTGTAAGTCGCTGTGGATAAGAGCATCTGCTAAATGACTAAAATGTAAATGTGACATGGGTTAACCACATTAACATAGGAGCAGGAGCCTTCATCTATCTCTGCTTGGCTGACTACAGTATATTAGAGATATGCTACCATAAGCATTGGCTAGGATTTATGGATGGATGGGTCAGTCCTTAGGCTTAGCTTTTTATGCTGGTATTTAAACTTTTTAGCTGCCCATTGCAGCTAGGCTAAGCTTTTTATCAACATATTATGCAGTGGTCCTCATGGTCCAATGACTAGACTTTGTGAGGGAAGTATTTGATCCCCTGCTGATTTTGTACGTTTGCCCACTGACAAAGAAATTATCAGTCTATAATTTTAATGGTAGGTTTATTTGAACAGTGAGAGACAGAATAACAACAACAAAATCCAGAAAAACGTTATAAATTGATTTGCATTTTAATGAGGGAAATAAGTATTTGACCCCTCTGCAAAACATGACTTAGTACTTGGTGGCAAAACCCTTGTTGGCAATCACAGAGGTCAGATGTTTCTTGTAGTTGGCCACCAGGTTTGCACACATCTCAGGAGGGATTTTGTCCCACTCCTCTTTGCAGATCTTCTCCAAGTCATTAAGGTTTCGAGGCTGACATTTGGCAACTCAAACCTTCAGCTCCCTCCACAGATTTTCTATGGGATTAAGGTCTGGAGACTGGCTAGGCCACTCCAGGACCTTAATGTGCTTCTTCTTGAGCCACTCCTTTGTTGCCTTGGCCGTGTGTTTTGGGTCATTGTCATGCTGGAATACCCATCCACGACCCATTTTCAATGCCCTGGCTGAGGGAAGGAGGTTCTCACCCAAGATTTGACGGTACATGGCCCCGTCCATCGTCCCTTTGATGCGGTGAAGTTGTCCTGTCCCCTTAGCAGAAAAACACCCCCAAAGCATAATGTTTCCATCTCCATGTTTGACAGTGGGGATGGTGTTCTTGGGGTCATAGGCAGCATTCCTCCTCCTCCAAACACGGCGAGTTGAGTTGATGCCAAAGAGCTCGATTTTGGTCTCATCTGACCACAACACTTTCACCCAGTTCTCCTCTGAATCATTCAGATGTTCATTGGCAAACTTCAGACGGGCATGTATATGTGCTTTCTTGAGCAGGGGGACCTTGCGGGGGCTGCAGGATTTCAGTCCTTCACGGCGTAGTGTGTTACCAATTGTTTTCTTGGTGACTATGGTCCCAGCTGCCTTGAGATCATTGACAAGATCCTCCCGTGTAGTTCTGGGCTGATTCCTCACCGTTCTCATGATCATTGCAACTCCACGAGGTGAGATCTTGCATGGAGCCCCAGGCCGAGGGAGATTGACAGTTCTTTTGTGTTTCTTCCATTTGCGAATAATCGCACCAACTGTTGTCACCTTCTCACCAAGCTGCTTGGCGGTGGTCTTGTAGCCCATTCCAGCCTTGTGTAGGTCTACAATCTTGTCCCTGACATCCTTGGAGAGCTCTTTGGTCTTGGCCATGGTGGAGAGTTTGGAATCTGATTGATTGATTGCTTCTGTGGACAGGTGTCTTTTATACAGGTAACAAACTGAGATTAGGAGCACTCCCTCTAAGAGTGTGCTCCTAATCTCAGCTCGTTACCTGTATAAAAGACACCTGGGAGCCAGAAATCTTTCTGATTGAGAGGGGGTCAAATACTTATTTCCTTAATTAAAATGCAAATAAATTTATAACATTTTTGAAAACATGCGTTTTTCTGGATTTTTTTGTTGTTATTCTGTCTCTCACTGTTCAAATAAACCTACCATTAAAATTATAGGCTGATCATTTCTTTGTCAGTGGGCAAACGTACAAAATCAGCAGGGGATCAAATACTTTTTTCCCTCACTGTTTATCCAACTAATACCTTTATTGATATTAGAGCACACACGGCAAATATTTGATAAGGGATGGGCATTAGGTATTTTATGTTGCAATGGGGGATTTTATTGTAAAAATATACTACATTATAGTGTATAGCAGGGATCATCAACTAGATTTCTTCTTGAGTGGATGATTTGCTGGTGTTTTTAGTATATATTTTTTGCTCAGTAAACTTGGGTGGGCCAAATAAAATCCAAAATGTTTATAGTGCCGCCAGTTGGGGAACCCTGGTGTATAGTGTGAAGTGGCATAATAAAGATATTGACTGTGAACATGCACTCTTTTCAGATCGATCTCCAGACCTTCCTCACTCTGACAGACCAGGACCTGAAAGAGCTGGGCATCACCACATTTGGAGCACGCAGGAAAATGCTGCTCGCCATCTCAGGTGTGAATGACTATGGTAATGAACAAACGTGTGTGTGAGCTTCTGTGTGTGTGTGTGAACCCAGTTCCAATGATGTGTGAGGCTGATCCTGCTGGGCTGTATGTGGTGATAATAGCTCCTTTCAGAAGTCTGTCAGAAGTGTCGAGGGGGGTGTTGGGCCGTGCCAGAACCTCTCCTGATGGCGGTGGTGTGAAATTGACTTCTATTTTCATTAGGCCTCTATTGTCTGGCCCTGCCACATGCCTCAGTGGCAGCCAGTCTGACAGCTAGCGAGCTGATGGGCCGTGGTACAACTATGGCCAGGTCCCATAGCTGAACATTCATTGCGATCAGTCTCTACTGCCATCCATTGGTTTCAGTAGTCAATGGTGCAAGTCGTGTCTCTCTTTTTGTCTGACAGAGAGGAGCTCAGATCCTCTCATACTGTTCCAAGGCAATGAATGCCCCACATGTTTGTTGTGACATGAACTAATCCTTGATTATAAATGCATAACTACAGGAGTAATAACTTTCTTCCAGCAGGAGTGAACAGGATTCAGTCAGGTGGCATTTTGATTGAATATACAGTGGGGGAAAAAAGTATTTAGTCAGCCACCAATTGTGCAAGTTCTCCCACTTAAAAAGATGAGAGAGGCCTGTAATTTTCATCATAGGTACACGTCAACTATGACAGACAAAATTAGAAAAAAAAATCCAGAAAATCACATTGTAGGATTTTTAATGAATTTATTTGCAAATTATGGGGGAAAATAAGTATTTGGTCAATAACAAAAGTTTCTCAATACTTTGTTATATACCCTTTGTTGGCAATGACACAGGTCAAACGTTTTCTGTAAGTCTTCACAAGGTTTTCACACACTGTTGCTGGTATTTTGGCCCATTCCTCCATGCAGATCTCCTCTTAGAGCAGTGATGTTTTGGGGCTGTCGCTGGGCAACACAGACTTTCAACTCCCTCCAAAGATTTTCTATGGGGTTGAGATCTGGAGACTGGCTAGGCCACTCCAGGGCCTTGAAATGCTTCTTACGAAGCCACTCCTTCGTTGCCCGGGCGGTGTGTTTGGGATCATTGTCATGCTGAAAGACCCAGCCACGTTTCATCTTCAATGCCCTTGCTGATGGAAGGAGGTTTTCACTCAAAATCTCACGATACATGGCCCCATTCATTCTTTCCTTTACACGGATCAGTCGTCCTGGTCCCTTTGCAGAAAAACAGCCCCAAAGCATGATGTTTCCACCCCCATGCTTCACAGTAGGTATGGTGTTCTTTGGATGCAACTCAGCATTCTTTGTCCTCCAAACACGACGAGTTGAGCTTTTACCAAAAAGTTATATTTTGGTTTCATCTGACCATATGACATTCTCCCAATCCTCTTCTGGATCATCCAAATGCACTCTAGCAAACTTCAGACGGGCCTGGACATGTACTGGCTTAAGCAGGGGGACACGTCTGGCACTGCAGGATTTGAGTCCCTGGCGGCGTAGTGTGCTACTGATGGTAGGCTTTGTTACTTTGTCCCAGCTCTCTGTAGGTCATTCACTAGGTCCCCCCGTGTGGTTCTGGGATTTTTGCTCACCGTTCTTGTGATCATTTTGACCCCACGGGGTGAGATCTTGTGTGGAGCCCCAGATCGAGGGAGATTATCAGTGGTCTTGTATGTCTTCCATTTCCTAATAATTGCTCCCACAGTTGCTTTCTTCAAACCAAGCTGCTTACCTATTGCAGATTCAGTCTTCCCAGCCTGGTGCAGGTCTACAATTTTGTTTCTGGTGTCCTTTGACAGCTCTTTGGTCTTGGCCATAGTGGAGTTTGGAGTGTGACTGTTTGAGGTTGTGGACAGGTGTCTTTTATACTGATAACAAGTTCAAACAGATGCCATTAATACAGGTAACGAGTGGAGGACAGAGGAGCCTCTTAAAAAATAAGTTACAGGTCTGTGAGAGCCAGAAATCTTGCTTGTTTGTAGGTGACCAAATACTTATTTTCCACCATAATTTGCAAATAAATTCATTAAAAATCCTACAATGTGATTTTCTGGATTTTTTTTTCTCAATTTGTCTGTCATATTTGATGTGTACCTATGATGAAAATTACAGGCCTCTCTCATCTTTTTAAGTGGGAGAACTTGCACAATTGGTGGCTGACTAAATACTTTTTTTCCCATTCCTATAGTTTCTGGGAAGTTACACTTAGAACATGTTTTGTCCTTTATCGCATGTATTTTCATTTCATGGTTTTGTGGTATTTTATTAGAGAGAAGGGATCATATCTATGTCAAAGTTTGCTGCTCATTTTTAGAGTGTGTCTTACTGATGCAGTAGGGGGTCACATTAGGGTTGGGCGGTATCCAGATTTTCATATCATCATACCGTCCTTCTCTCACCCCAGGATTTACGGTATTACCGGTTTAGTACACAAGGGGGCGCCAAAATAACGAGAGAAAAAAGCCCATTAGGCGTCTACTACCAGAATGCTAACAGCATTAGCACAAGTAATAGCGGATTTCCATGGAGGCTGCCAGCTAAATATACTAACGAGCACAAACAAAATTAAAATAATTGCAAAGACAGGCAATCCAGCTCATAAAGTATATATATATAAAGGTAGGATGTGAACGAGAGACATTGTGCAAATGAACAAAGTTTTGACGCATGCTTTTCTGAAGGAAGAACCGTACTGGCTCTCCAGCAACATGTCTATACGCTGTGTCTGTGTGGAGTTTGACATCACTAGGGCATATTGTGTTAGCTTTCTGCCTGCTGTCTGCTCCTCCCCCCTCTTCTCCAAGCAGAGCAGGCAGAAAGCTAACACAATATTAACTTTAAGCAAAACATTAGGAAATGTAGCTGGCTACATTCTTTCTATGATAGGCCTAAACATTAGAAATATGATGGCCATGCATAGTTTTTGCAAAAAATACTTTGCTTTTTCATTGTAAGCTAATTTACTTGTGTGGCTGCCAGCCAAATAGCGTTGCACTTCTGTTGTCTACTGATGAAAATGAAGCTATTTTCTGCCGAATGTGTTAGATTAATGTATTTTCTGTGAAGGAAAACTATAGTTGCACATCCCTGATCACTCTATTGAAGAAAAAAAACAACTTGACTTTTAATATCAAACGCGACCCCTGTCAATACACAGCTGGACTCACCTGCTCCCACTTTCTCCTGTTCTGCTATTTATAAACAAACGTGACTGGCTCAGCTGTTCTGGGGAACTATTTAAGCTTCATAATGTAAAAAAATGTCACAGGAGAAATATCTGCTATCTGCTTTATTTCCTAACGCATTGCACAAGTTGACTGCAGGTATTTACTTAAAAAATAGCTACAATATATACAAATGTATTGAAAAACGTCAAATAAATAATATAAAAGGCATTGACTGTATGGAAAAAACATCCCGTGGCTATTTCCAAATACCCCGGTATACGGTATATACAGTATACCGCCCAAGCCTAGGTCACATTGAAGTTGGGAGAGGGAGGTAGTCTGTCTTATTGATGCAGTAGGGGTCACATTGAGGTTGGGAGATGGAGGTAGTCTGTCTTATTGATGCAGTAGGGGGTCACATTGAGGTTGGGAGAGGGAGGTAGTCTGTCTTATTGATGCAGTAGGGGGTCACATTGAGGTTGGGAGAGGGAGGTAGTCTGTCTTATTGATGCAGTAGGGGGTCACATTGAGGTTGGGAGAGGGAGGTAGTCTGTCTTATTGATGCAGTAGGGGGTCACATTGAGGTTGGGAGAGGGAGGTAGTCTGTGTTCTGTTGTGAGAAGGGCTTAAGGCGAGAGATGGTTCCACTGCTGCACTCCGTTGCCAAGTTCAGATCAACTCTAATCTCGGCTGAAGAACTCAGCGAGCTCCAAAACAGGAACACACTCCCTTTCCCCCTTTTCCTTCTCTCCTCACTTAAAGATGCTCAACCAGTTTATTGACATATTTTGAAATAATTGTGTCCAAGTAGTTGGGTGATCTGCACATTTTCCTGTCATTGTTGATTTAGTCTTGACTGCATCGAAACACCAATAATCTGTACTTTCCCTCCAATTTCGTTTACAGTTTGAATTGACTTGTCGGACTCTTGATGGAAAAACATAGTATGTTATTGAACATATCTGTAAGAATTGTAATTATACGGTATTGTGTTCTTTTGTCTTTTCCAGAACTGAACAAGAACCGAAGGAAGCTGTTTGAGCCTCCTATCAGGTCCTCCTTCCTGGAAGGGGGCGCCAGCGGGCGTCTGTCTCGTCAGTTCCACGCTGACATGGCCAGCGTCAGCGGCCGGTGGTAGAGCTCCACTCCGCCAGGACCTAACACGACAGAGACCCAGCCTTCAGTGCTTCTCTCTGGGCTTCTGTAGCCCAGTCTCCAGCCTCTCTGGGTCTCAGTGGTCCACCCTCCATCTTATGCTTAACAATGACAGTTAAACTCTTTTTTTGGGGGCGGGCCATAACAAAAAGCCATAGTTTAACCAGAAGTGCCAAAAAAGAGATGAGCCATCTCAATGGTATAGAAAGTCCAGTGTTCACTCCACATAGTGCTAAAATGTTTCTGTGGAGTATCTACACATGAAGGGTATTTGACTAGTTATGAAGGACATGTACTGTCTAATAATTGTCCATTTTTGTTGAAGGGAACAGGCTGAATGATTAGTACAAAATAATTACATTGATACCGTCTGCATTCGTAGTATGCTGTTGTATCAATGACATGCACTTTAACAATACTAGAATTTTGTCTGTGAAAGCCTGATTCCTCATATTGGAATACCTATGCATTTTGTATTAACTCAAAGCACAGATGTATTTGTACCAAGCCAAATGTAAGCACTTAGTGAGATGGGGTAATTAAGTCAATTAAATTCAAAGGTCAAAGTGCCCAAGTGACATCATCAACTAAACACAGAACCTAGAGAAATGACCTTTGACCCCTCAGTGTTTTGATTGATTGACATTCCACAAAGGTCAGTGTTGTATCCACCAGCAGCTGCTGCAGTTGGGCTGCAGTCTGTCTCTGTCATATGTATTTAGAAAAATATGATTTGGTATTTGCATTATGATTTTTAATCATCATTTTTTGGGGGGAGGTTTTAATGATAATCAGTGTACATGTGTTTTTTTTAATGTTTTAATTATTTTATACATTAATTAATGAGTTTCTATGGTTTCTAATTTGTTTATTATTTGTCTCTTTGATAATAACGAGAGAGCGAGAGGGGAGCGAGAGAGAGAGAGATATTCTGTTTGTTGGCGTCCTATGGTTTTCTTAGTCCTTGTCATTATGTCTCCTGTTAACCTTTCTGTGGTCTCTACTCTGTGTTGAATCCCACTGCGTTCCTCTATCTATTCAGGAGACCAGTCACTATTCCCAGACTGTGTGCTTTTATCTTTCCATTCACTGACTGCCTTTAGAGCTGCGGACAGAGAAAGAACCTACTACAATGTAGAATGCCTCCACACTACTACAGTATAGAATGCCTTTACTTCTCTCTCTAAGTTGCTCAGCAGGGAATCATTTCTATTAGAATATTGCTATTTTTCTGAACAGGACTGACACTACTGCTCACCTAGGACGTACACCACACCATCGGTGGAAACTCAACTTTGTATCATATGACAGCCCCTAGCCTAGACAAGTTTCTCGACATTTACCAAGATTGTGTCCTCATGGAAGACTCAAAAGTCTTCATAACATTTATTCTAGCTTAAATGAACTTAGTGGAATTATACAATTGTCAGTATCGGTTGTGAAATCAGATATCCGGGAATCTTGTAAAGCTATATTTGATTTAGTAACAGGATTATGTGTGCAGTGGTGCTGCTTATCATCAAAGGATGGGTTCACTCTGAGCGCTGTGATATGTTCATGTTCATATAATGGCACAGTATACTCATACCCTTTTTTACATTTTGGCTGACTCTGGAATGTGTATTTTCTGTAACTGCTTTAGATTGAATCCCCAGATTAAGCCTGGAAGTTGAGTCTTTGTGCATTCTATCATATATAGAGTGTTAGTGTGAAGTACGCATCATCTTCATATGCAGAACGTTTGTTGGGAGATGGTACAGTATTTGACTGACAATGCAGTGAACTGTATGTAGAGCCCAAGCTGTGCATCTATAGAGGCCACTCAATCTTGAAACTAAATGATAGTAGGTTCAGAATGTTGAAGTAGATGGAGAGAACATTTCAAAGCAACTTGCATGTCAAAATTGTTCTTAAATGCTGTTTGTTTCCACACAACAGCAACATCACTCTTAGCATCAACCGTTCTGTTATCACGCACAGAGAGAAGTCACTTGTTTTTATTTTTGCATGCTTTCTCTCTCGACGCTCTGTTGTATCGTGTGTTTACGCTATACCACTTTCCTAACTGATTTGAGCCATTCTCAATGTCATTGTATCCATATAACATATCCTGACATAGTTGTCGTTTCTGACCAGTAGTGGTTCATTTTCTTAGAAATGTTTTAAAGAGACAGGATATAAAAAGGGATTTGTAATTCCACAAAGAAATATGGGGTATGTTCAACCCTTTTATAATGGTACTAATTGAAGCTGTTCAGCATTGATTATGTCAGTGCAGTAATGTCGACCCATGTACCTACCGTGCAGACAAGACAGTGTTTGATTTCACTTCTGTAAAGCCTGTGGTCATTTGTCTGTTTGGAGGGCAATAGAGATTGTTGTCTGTCAAGTGAATGTTAAAGTGAGAATTATTGATGCCTTTAATCTGGTTTAATGAAGGTAATCATTTGCAATCAGTTTACCACCAACCTCCTTTCCCTACACCCTTTACAGAATCGTTATGCAATTCATTTTTGTGTTTAGTCCTTGTTATTCCTAAAGGGATACATTTGAAGAGGTCTATTTTGAACTGAGTTAGATCAAATGGTACAACATTTATAATGAATGTAAACCACTAAGGAATTGATGTATGTATTGCTTTGCGTTTCTATCCTGTGTAGTCATGCTTGTTTTTAGCAGTATATCTCCAGTTTCCTGTGAGACAAAGGTACAGTTCCAAAAATATTCCACCGAAGAATTTAAGGAGTGAGATTGCCTTTTGCCATAGCTCCTTTCCTTGGCTTTTGTTGATAAGATTGTTGAGCAGGACATTGTTTTAGCTCTGTTGTTATGTCTGTAAATATAGTACAGATACAAATTGTGTTTTGGAGGAGTTATCAAATGTTATTACAAAGATAATAAATGTATGCAGTAAGATGTTTCCTTCTGTTGTCCTTTGTTCATAGCACATACAGTGAGGGAAAAAAGTATTTGATCCCCTGCTGATTTTGTACGTTTGTCCACTGACAAAGAAATGATCAGTCTATAATTTGACTGTGTCCATAAAATGTAGATAGTAGGTATAAGCTGGAAGTAGAGGCCTAAGCATTGTTGTTCACTAGTTTACTCCAAGTAGGGAAAGGGTGGCGGGGTTGGAAAGTAATAAAGGGGAATATATATATATTTTTAAAGGATATGTGTATGTATGTACAGTGAGGGGAAAAAAGTATTTGATCCCCTGCTGATTTTGTACGTTTGCCCACTTACAAAGAAATGACCAGTCTATAATTTTAATGGTAGAAAAACGTTAAATTGATTTGCATTTTAATTAGGGAAATAAGTATTTGACCCCCTCTCAATCAAAGATTTCTGGCTCCCAGGTGTCTTCTATACAGGTAACAAGCTGAGATTAGGAGCACACTCTTAAAGGGAGTGCTCCTAATCTCAGCTTGTTACCTGTATAAAAGACACCTGTCCACAGAAGCAATCACCAAGAAAACAATTGGTAACACACTACGCCGTGAAGGACTGAAATCCTGCAGCGCCCGCAAGGTCCCCCTGCTCAAGAAAGCACATATACAGGCCCGTCTGAAGTTTGCCAATGAACATCTGAATGATTCAGAGGACAACTGGGTGAAAGTGTTGTGGTCAGATGAGACCAAAATCGAGCTCTTTGGCATCAACTCAACTCAACGTGTTTGGAGGAGGAGGAATGCTGCCTATGACCCCAAGGACACCATCCCCACCGTCAAACATGGAGGTGGAAACATTATGCTTTGGGGGTGTTTTTCTGCTAAGGGGACAGGACAACTTCACCGCATCAAAGGGACGATGGACGGCGCCATGTACTGTCAAATCTTCCTCAGCCAGGCCATTGAAAATGGGTCGTGGATGGGTATTCCATGACAATGACCCAAAACACACGACCAAGGCAACAAAGAAGTGGCTCAAGAAGACGCACATTAAGGTCCTGGAGTGGCCTAGCCAGTCTCCAGACCTTAAAGCCATAGAACATTTGTGGAGGGAGCTGAAGGTTCAAGTTGCCAAACGTCATGCTCGAAACCTTAATGACTTGGAGAAGATCTGCAAAGAGGAGTGGGACAAAATCCCTCCTGAGATGTGTGCAAACCTGGTGGCCAACTACAAGAAACGTCTGACCTCTGTGATTGCCAACAAGGGTTTTGCCACCAAGTAATAAGTCATGTTTTGCAGAGGGGTCAAATACTTATTTCCCTAATTAAAATGCAAATCAATTTATAACATTTTTGACATGCGTTTTTCTGGATTTTTTTGTTGTTATTCTGTCTCTCACTGTTCAAATAAACCTACCATTAAAATTATAGACTGATCATGTCTTTGTCAGTGGGCAAACGTACAAAATCAGCAGGGGATCAAATACTTTTTTCCCTCACTGTACATTTGACTATTATAGTGAAGAATGATATTCAATCTGTGAAGAGTGAAATTGATAGAATGCTATGGTAACCATAGTTGAGGAAAGCATGTGTGAGACCCACACTCTCTCATAATCTGGAATATAATCCAACTCTTGGTATGTCCGATTGGTGCCAGAGCTGACATGTCCACTAATCCCCAGAGGCAGGATCTATCTAATCCCAGAGAATGAATCCACTCCATAGACAGAGCACTATGAAACACTGACCCATACCAACCATCCTGCCTGCCTGTATCGCCACCGTACTAAATAAGGAATGTATTGTTGTCTTTCCGATGTAACGTCCCGCCCCCTTCTCTCTCTTTCCCTCAGATTCACTGTAGAGAGGAGGGAGGGAGAGAGGCAGCAGCTGTGTAATAAAGTGGCTGAGGGTAGCTACGTGTTCTACTCCCAATGAATGCATCACCCTTCCACTCAGGTCACAGCTACATTCTCATAGCTGTTTTGTGTTTTGGCTGTATACCTACCCTTTACCACTTTGACAATCTATTGTATCTTTATTTCTGTCTTGCTCCAACTGATGTGTGATGAGCTCTCTGGAGCAAAATGGCTGCCATGGCATTACCCAGGTGGGTGCTACACATTAGAGGTGGATGTGGGGAGTCTGCTTCATGCAATGTAAAGCCCTTTGGGCACCTGGTGGAAAAAAACACTATGTAATACCAATCCGTTATTGACTGAATATTTAGGATGTGTTTATCTCCTTCAGGGGGCACTACAGTAACAACAAACTCCTCCACTAGGCCTACCGGTATATTGAGCTAAATTTCAGAAAAACATTTATTTGAATCATTCAGCTTTACTTAGTGGCTATTATTAGAACATGCTCCTTGAATTTATTAGGCTTTTACAGAAAATTGCTTCTAAGGGGAAATAGTGGCTCAACCTTTTACTGGTGTGAGCGTTTCAAATTCATGGATGTAGGCCTATTTATGGTATATCTCATTTAGCTTACAGGTTGATTTAATTATTTTTATTTCATTTTCATATGAGGCTGTAAAACAGTCTGAGGCACATTCATGTCCCTCCTCTTTCCCATAGCAGATTTATGCGCTCTGATGTAGAAATCTTTCATCCAATGCAAATGGAACTTCTCCATTCACAGCAGAAACAGCTGGCCTCATTTAACTGTTTTCTGAACAAGCGTAGCGTGTAGACTGTAATTCCCCTCATTATCTCATAAAGCATCGTTATCTGAATAGGATCCCTGCTGGGGAGAGAAAGCTGAACAACATATCACTGCCTTTTATGTAAATATATACGTAAAGTTAATGTCCAATGGTTGTTCTGTGAGGAAGAAATATCTCCTGGAATTGTTACTCTGTTTGAAATAACTTATTTCAATAACATTAGAGAACTGTTTTCTCTGTCCTGTAAATAGTGCTGCCATTTTACATCAAGGAAAATAAATAAATAAATAAATATGCCATTTAGCAGACGCTTTTATCCAAAGCGACTTACAGTCATGCGTGCATACATTTTTTTACATAT